TAAAAACTAGCCTAGAGCGCTGTCTGTTGTTTAAAAACTAGCTTAGAGCACCGTCTGTTGTTTAAAAACTAGCCTAGAGCGCCGTCTGTTGTTTAAAAACTAGCCTAGAGCGATGTCTGTTGTTTAAAAACAAGCGTAGAGCACTGTCTGTTGTTTAAAAACTAGCTTAGAGTACTGTCTGTTGTCTAAAAACAAGCCTAGAGTGCCGTCTGTTGGTTAAAAACTAGCCTTGAGTGCCGTCTGTTGTTTAAAAACTAGCCTAGAGCACTGTCTGTTGTCTAAAAACTAGCCTAGAGCACTGCCTGTTGTTTAAAAACTAGCTTAGAGTACTGTCTGTTGTCTAAAAACAAGCCTAGAGTGCCGTCTGTTGGTTAAAAACTAGCCTTGAGTGCCGTCTGTTGTTTAAAAACTAGCCTAGAGCACTGTCTGTTGTCTAAAAACTAGCCTAGAGCACTGCCTGTTGTTTAAAAACTAGCTTAGAGTACTGTCTGTTGTTTAAAAACTAGCTTAGAGTACTGTCTGTTGTTTAAAAACTAGCTTAGAGCGCTATCTGTTGTTTAAAAACTAGCCTAGAGCGCCATCTCTTGTTAAATCTAGCCTAGAGCACCATCTCCTGTTAAAAACTTACTTACAGTGCCTTCTACTGTTAAAATCTAAGCTCAGAATCATTTTAAGAGATTATTTTTGCAACAATTTTTGTTCTACCAGCTCTACCAGCAAGCATTTCTTTGTGTTCAAAATACATCTAATAGAGACCCAAACATGGGTATTTTGGCTAAAACAAGACTAAAGTCAGGCTGTCAGTGAAAATATTACAACCGTCAAACAATAGTCCAAGTTGTCTAACAATAATGACGTCTGTGTTATCTGATGACTAGGTCTATTTTTGGACTATTGATAGATGTCTATTAGATTTTCAATGAAAATCTATGAAAATTGTCTATTTAATGACCAAATTTAGGCAGGGTCATTTGTCTGGATGTCTCTTATGTCTTTTAAACGCACACTTATGTGGGCTCTTAGTGCTGCCAATTGCCAAGGTTTTTTTCATAACCAAAAACTGAAACTAAGATTATTGAAAAGAAAGAATATTGGTTAAAAGACATTTGCATAAAACAAATAATAACAATAATTTCATAATAATTAAAAAAAATAATCCAAAATGGATTGCTGTATTTTAAAGTTATGCTTTCGGTGGCCAAAAATCTGACCTACAAAAAAATTTATAACAATAAATCGATTTTTATTCTTTTAAATTGCATCATGCATGATTTGCATGATTTTTCCACAAAATAAAAACAAAGGTAAAGCCATCAGTCATGTGAACTACAACTAACTGGAATTTTATAGCATATTTTCACATCATATTGAAACTGCAACCTTGCCGATTACGGTTAATATGTTGTGCGGTTCATCCGGTTAAATGTGATGCAGCTGTCAGATACTGAACACATACCGCTCATAACCCAGTGCTAAAGATGGCGCCATAACTGGGCCATGCCAAACTCACTCACGGAGGATCTATTTTCAGTGCATCCCGATACGTGTCTGGCCTGTAAACTTGACTGTGTGTGTGTGTGTACAATATTGAGATATAAGAGATATAAAGCCCAGCTGATCAGCCATGCGGACTAGACTTCAGCATATATGGCTCAGCACAGATTACACTAAATCCAACACATGGGGGTTTCAACTATATATATATATATATATATATATATATATATGTACACACACACACACACACAGTATATAGTGAAAGAAAGACCACTTGGTTTTACAACAACAAATAAGGGCTGGTTTAGAGCTTGTAGTCATTTTGGAATGGTGAATTTGTTAAGATAACTGGACATTAGTATTTAATTTTAAAAATGCAATTTATTTAGATTTTACCACAGAGCTATTGAATGCTTGAATCCAATTAGATGAGAAGCATTCTGAGGTTTGGAGCAATTTTTATGTATGATTGCACAAATAAAGTAGTTCCAGGCAGGTTTTGAACCACATTGCAGTTCCATATCACTATGCTAATTGATTTCACAGCCTATAAAAGTAAAGAAAATCTCATCTAAACACATCAGAATGCTTTGGATGAGATGTGTAAGAAACGTACTTCACACAGGAGCAGTTTGAGGACTAAAATCAGACAAGTTGCTTGAAAAACAACATCTGAACAGTGACTCGTGGTTCCCATAGTGTAAACAGAATAATGGCATAATAATGCACACCTAATTTACCACCTCATTATTTTTCATAGAATATCCATAGAACATTACTGTTGAATAAAATGACTTTAAAGCGATTATTTATATAAAGAATGTTTAAGACAGGGACTTTTATTGACATTTTAGTAGCATGAAATGCTGTATTAAAATATATATATGGAGAGAAAAACAGAAATTGTACTGCCAGTTTATTACAAGAGCAGTTTATTACAACACCAACCCAGACAATATATCACTTTAAACTAATCAAAATTTTCATAAAAGTCACTTTTTCAAACTATTCAAGGTAAAAGTTGTTGAACGAAAGATCAAGATATTGTATAAAAATGACACACTGTTGAGTTATAAGGAAATAATGTAGACCCGATGCAACACCTCCTCATTACTTTTTATAGAGTATGTAAGTAACATATTATGTGTGTGTGTATATATATATATATATATATATATATACATACACACACACACACACACACACACACATATACATACACACATACATACACACACACACACACACAGTATAAGGTTTCATTAATAACAAGCATTTTCATAGATTTAACTGTGGTATATGGGTCATAAATAGAGAAAATTTAGAAATTAAAGAAATTATGACCACTTAGATGTCCCAATGTTACTAAAAAGTGCTTAATAAGGCATTTTAATGCATAATATGTTTGTAATTTATTTTCCTATGTTTAATTTTCCACTTAATTTGCTCTCCTGAAGTTTAAAAGTTTGATGGCACTTATGGTTCAAATGTTATTGAGTTTAAACCTCTAAACTGATTGACAGTACAGGTTTGTGGATTAAATACTGTAATAAACATACTACATACATTTACTCTATATTAAATATAGAATACTATAGCCAACACACTTACTTACTACTGTGTATGTTGCTTTGAAAATGTTTAATTTTACACACCCACATATGTTTCTTAATGTCTTTATTTAGTTTAGATGTATTATTTGAATAAAGGACTTAAGACAACTTACATGCCCCAAAGATGTTATATGAGCAATATCACACGAGTAGCAGTGCGATGTGGCTGTATATCGACACTGGTGGGAGGCGTACGTTGGCTTAAGGCCGCAGGCCAATTGCCTTAGTGTCACACCAGTAACGATAAACAGCCATATTGCACTGCTACAAGTGTGATATTGCGTTTATACAACAGTTTGACGGTATAATAATGCATATAAAAAGAAAATCAAACACAGAGAGTCTTAAATCCCTTTTGTAAGAGGAATTACTTTCTTCCGCCATTCATCTGCAACTGACCGTCAGAACAGCAGAAAGTGTTGGTACTTCACAAACGTCTCTTTAGAGCTAGTATTTGAATGATTCTCTTGTATAATGTCTAAAATGATGACAAGATGGGAGATTTTGTTCACATTATTAAGATTATAAGACAGAGCGGCATGAGATGCCATCAGTCTAAAGAAATTTCCTAGTATTTCTCTGTTGCAATCGGGAGATTACAATAAATAACCCTATAGAAGCCAAAACAAAGCAAACACTAGCAGATTACTATGGTATAAATAAAGCAATATAGCATACAAAAGAGAGAGACTGACTTAAAATGTCATTTACCTGTTATATAATGATTTGATCAGCTGTAGTTTGAAACGTACACTGTAAAAATGCAGTTTTTCTCCCCTAAGGAATTAATATGCTGTCTCTGTCGCCTTTTTGTGGCAGAACACCAACCGTCTTTGATCTGCTCAGTATGACACCCAATGCGCTGAATCTCTGAAATCATGAATATTTTAAAATAGACACTATCCTTATAAATGAACATTCTCATCTAAAAAAGCCTCAAAGTACATCCAACAGCTGCAATATTTGTCAAACTGTAGTCCTCTGTTTGCCACTTATGTGGGCGGAGTAATACACAAGAGTAAAGAGGCTTTAGGATTCACGGCTATCAGCCAATCAGATTCGAGAACCAGACTGAACTGTTATAAAAAAAAGTTACTTTGTCAAAAATACTTTGTTCTGTTTTGTTTTTCTTTTTGTATTGCTCTTTAAAGATCATTATTGTTAAAATTTGTACAATATAAATAAAAGGTAACACTTTACTGGTTTTCTTTCCCGCTTATAGTTGACTTTTTTAAACTGCAGGTACACTGAGTGCAAAGGCGCAGCAGGCATTTAAGATGAGCATAAAAATACCCGCAAAACACTCGCAGCTGTTAGTAAACCATGCAAAGAAGTCGCCACTCATCGCAAAAAGTTCAATCGGTGTGATCGGCGCCTTCAAGTAAAGTGTTACAAAATAAAACAAAAGTAATTACTATGCGAACAGTGTGTGGAAAATTTCACAATATTCAGAGTCTGAACATTTGATCTCCTTGCCAGTCTGAAAAGCTAAGATGAAAAGTGTGCTCGGTTTGCGATTGTTTTAGAGCTTCCGACTCAGTTGCCTATGGAAGAAATAACTAGAAATAATAAACGGGGTCAAACTACTTGCTCTACAAGCAAGTGTGCTCATGACTATACATCAAAAGTTAATCAATAATATGATACAAAAGTGTCCGTTTGCAACATCAAGCACCATAAAGAGCTGTTTTTAATGTGTAAAAATTAACGGAAGTGAATGAGCCTAAAAGATTCCAATGACTGCGCCTGCTCATTGGTCAAGAATAAGATCAATATTAAGACTAGTTAAAGTTTAAGTCTGTTTAGAGAGAGTTTGGCCTGTCCGAACACTGTTGCAGCAGGATTGACTGGTGCTGTTTAACCTGAGTGCGTGTGTTTTTGTGTCCTCAGACCTGAACGAGTGTGGCCTGAAGCCTCGTCCTTGTAAGCACCGCTGCATGAACACATTCGGGAGCTTCAAGTGTTACTGTCTGAATGGCTTCATGCTGCTGCCGGATGGGAGCTGCGCCAGTGAGTTCCGTCTGCCGTTTCACACACTTTTACATGCTGCTTCAGTCTGCGGCTCTTCAACGCACTGCTGGAAAACTCTGATAGGGAAACCAGCAGCGGGAATTATAATGTGGAGAGTGGAGATATTGTTTCTACACATCAGGCTATTTTTTTTTATACAAGCTTTTCAAAACAGCGTTGAAAATATGTTTCTTTTATTTGATCCCTGCAGATCGCATTTTATTTTGTATTTTGTGTTTTTTTGTGTCTTCTAAAAGCAAATTATTCAGTGTTCTGTATTGTGCCAAAACAGATTTATAAAGAAAAAAGTAATATTATATACAAAAAAAACAAATATCTGCATAAAACAAACAGAAAAATTGTTTTATTTTTAATAGCTACATTTAGAAACTTTAGTTTATATATATACACATATATATATATATATATATATATATATATATATATATACAGTTTATTATATATATATATACACAGTGCATCTGGAAAGTATTGATATCGCTTATCACACAATACCCCATAATGACAATGTGAAAAAAGAAAAACCTGATAAATCACATGTACAGAGGTATTCACAGCCTTTGCTCAATACTTTGTTGATGCAACTTTGGCAGCATTTACAGCCTCAAGTCTTTTTAAATATGATGTCACAAGCTTAGCACACCTGTCTTTGGGAATTTTTGCCCATTCCTCTGTACAGTACCTCTCAAGCTCTATCAGGTTGGATGGGAAGCGATGGTGTACAGCCATTTTCAGATCTCTCCAGAGATGTTCAATAGGATTTAGGTCTGGGCTCTGGCTGGGCCACTCAAGAACATTCACTGAGTTATTGTGAAGCCACTCCATTGATATTTTGGCAGTGTGCTTTGGGTCATTCTCCTGCTGGAAGAATAACCGTTGCCCCAATTTGAGGTCAAGAACACTCTGAAGCAGGCTTTCATTCAGGATGTCTCTGTACATTGCTGCATTCATCTTTCCCTCTATCCTGACTAGTCTTCCAGTTCCTGCTGCTGAAAAATGTCCCCACAGCATGATGCTGCCACCACCATGCTTCACTGTAGGGATGATATTGGCCTAGTGATGAGTGGTGCCTGGTTTTCTCCAAACATAACGCTTGGCATTCACTCCAAAGAGTTCAATTTTAGTCTCATCAGACCAAAGAGTTTTGTTTCTTATGGTCTGAGAGTCCTTCAGATGCCTTTTGGCAAATTCCAGGCGGAGAGTGGCTTTCGTCTGGCCACTCTACCATACAGGCCTGATTGGTGGATTACTGCACAGATGGTTGTCCTTCTGTAAGGTTCTCCTCTCTTCACAGAAGAACGCTGGAGCTCAGACAGAGTGACCATCGGGTTATTGATCACCTCCCTGACTAAGACCTTTCTCTCTGATCACTCATGGCCTTTATATGGCCTGCCAGCTCTAGGAAGAGTCCTTGTGGTTCCGAACATCTTCCACTTACAGATGATGGAGGCCACTGTGCTCATTGGAACTTTCAGAGCAACAGAACATGTTCTGTAACCTTCCCCAGCCTTGTGCCTCGAGAAAATCCTGTCTTTGAGATCTACAGACAATTCCTTTGTCTTCATGCTTGGTTTGTGCTTTGACAGGCACTGTCAACCCTGGGACCTTATATAGACAGGTGTATACCTTTTTAAATCATGTCCAATCAACTGAATTGACCACAGGTGAACTCCAGTTAAGCTGCTGAAACATCTCAAGAATGATCAGTGGAGACAGAATGTGCCTGAGCTCAATTTAGAGCTTCACAGCAAAGGCTGTGAATTCTTAGGTAGGTAGGTTGATTGGGCGTACTACGACGATGCCCTGAGAGTCAGAGTGGGGGTACAGTCTCTGTTGTATTTTGGTAGAGTGATTGAACCCCCCAATTCATCATAGGAGTGAAGAGAGGGTTATGAGGAAAGTTGATGGGAAGCAAAGAAATAGAGGGAGGGAGGAGGGTGTGTTTGGGAGAACGAGAGGAACAGTAATAGAGGTCTGCCTTGAATAAGTTTTAGGGAGTAAGTGATTTTAAACGATTTAGAGATCCATCCATTTAGAGATGAGTATTGCATTAAGAAAAATGTTATCATCAAATTTAAACATTGCATAATATATATATATATAACTGTATGCTTCTTGAAAAGACCTTTGTGTTTTTTTCTCTCTCCATATTTTGCTGGATAACAACTATCAGTATATTGTTTTGTCATTTTTATTTCATTTCATTATATTTTTCACAATACATTTTCCTCATGGATACTCTTTTTTTTTTTTTTTTTCGTAGATGTATTATTTTTTAGATTCTCCTGTGCGGTACACAAATGTTTCGCGGGAGCTCAGGGCGTCCCTCAATCCTGCAGAGAGCTTTTCAAATGACTCACCAAAAAATATGAGAAAAGCTGTGAACTTCAACCCTGCAGTAAAGGCTAAGTGTTATTGCTGGCCTTGAGCTGTTTCTCTGTGCATGGACTGGTCATGTCTGTGCTTGCCTGATGCTCAGCGCAGATCCAAATGCTTCCAGTTTCACTCCTGAGAAAGATTTTTGTCTTTTTTAAGCTCACACCTCAGCAAACAGCACTGAAAGCACAGTTTGGAGTGTCAGTGTTAACAGACTTCACGACTCTGCGTTTCGGGAGCTAAATATTCATAACTTCATGCTATTTGAATGGAAAACAAAAGCTATTATCTGACAAACATGGTAACTGACGAAATTCTGGGTTTTAATGTTACGCCTATGTGCTACAGCATTATTAGTTTTTTTTAAATTAATATTAATTGTATTATATGATGGTGTTAGTATTATATATTCATATTTTCATCGTTGTTAAACATACAGTTGAAGTCAGAATTTTTAGCCCCTCTGAATTATTAGCCTCGCTGTTTATTTTTTCCCCAATTTCTGTTTAAAGGAGAGAAGATTTTTTCAACACATTTCTAAACATAATAGTTTTAATAACTCATTTCTAATAACTGATTTGTTTTATCTTTGCCATGATGACAGTACATGATATTTGACTAGATTTTTTTCAAGACACTTCTATACAGCTTAAAGTGACATTTAAAGGCTTAACTAGGTTAATAAAGTTAACTAGGTTAGGATAATTAGGCAAGTTATTGTGTAATAATGGTTTGTTCCGTAGACTATCAAAAAATATATAGATTTAAGGGGTTAATCATTTTGACCTTAAATTTTTTTTTTTTAATTAAAAGCTATTCTTGCTGAAATAAAACAAATAAGACTTACTCAAAAAGACAAAATATTATCAGACATGCTGTGAAAATGTCCTTGCTCTGTTAAACATCATTTAGGAAATATTTAAAAAAGAAAAAATAATTCAAAGGGGGGCTAAAAATTCTGACTTCAATTTTATATTAGTTAAAAACATTCACTTCCAACAGAGATTAGTTGGCTAAAAAAAAAGCTTAAAAAAAGCTTAAAAAATATTTTATTTAATTAAAACTTTTATTTTATTTCATTTTTGTTTTGTTGTATTTTATTTTATTTTATTTTTCATTCATCCATCTATTAAAACTAAATGATAAAAAATATTAAATTAAATTAAAATGTTTTTATTTATATATTTATGTTTAAATTAAATACAAATAATATTGTTATAAAAATTTTCCACTCATCCATCTATTAAAATTAAATGATAGATCATAAGGGTTTATTTACTTATTTGTTTACTTATTTATTTATATATTTATTTAATTCATTTATTCAATATTTATTTATTTATTTATAAATTAAATGCCAAATGATATTTTATTTTATTTTTCCACCCATTAATCTAATAAAATTATATGACAGGTTTATTTATTTATTTATTTATCTATCTATTTGTTTGTTTATAATTTATAAATTAAATGACATATCATATTTTATTTTATTTTATTCATACATTAAAATTAAATGAGAAAACACTGTAGAGTGCCATTATTTAAACAGATATGTCTTGGTCTGAACTCATCTAATGACTTTTTTTTTTTTCTTGTGATTTGAGAACATCTCCTTCCCCCCCTTCTCATTTTTTCTCTTCAGGGAATAATTACATTTGCTTTTAGTTTTTTCCTGCAGCATTAGCAGTGAACAGTCTAGCATCTGTTTCTCTCTGAGTGTTTTTTCCTCCTCTGTCTCAGTGTAAATGCTTGTGTTGAGATTGTGGAGCGCTGTTTCCCTCTAACACATCTAATAACTCAAGATTTTCTGCTTCACCCGCCATTTCCTTCAAGGCCATGAAGCTAAAAGTGGAAAAGAGTGTTTACCTCTGCGACCTGCAGCTCTGAACTCATATAATGTGTCATTTTGAACTGGAAATTGTCCAGCAATGACCTCCTGTTTAATATATATATGGAGGCGCAAAGGCCAAAGTTGCTCATTCATCAGCACAGCTGGGATTTGCAACAAAAGTTGTTAAGCTTCACACAATTTGCAAGTGTCAAAGCAAAAACCCTGAAAATGCATTTTAAATACCAGGGTATACATCAGTAAATCCACTTGTCATACATCAGTAAATCAATGTCCTTATGACTGTTTGGGTGATGCTTCAATTGGTCAGTAAATCTCAAGAATCACAGTTGACGAACAAATGATTCACTGATTCAAACGATCTGTTCAGAGTCAGTTTCTAGTAAATGATCCACTGCTTTAAATGATTTGTTCAGAGTGAATCTCCAGTAAATGTTTCATTAATTCAAATAATTGGTTCTGAGTAAGTCTGATTTGTTCTGATTCTGAGTAAGTTTGATTTAAATCTTTTAAATCTGTTTACAGTGAATCTCCAGTAAATGATTCACTGATTCAAATAAATGGCTCAGAGTGAGTCTCCAGAATATCATTCACTGAATCAAATGATTGGCTCAGAGTGAGTCTCCAGTATATCATTCACTGATTCAAATGATCCGTTCAGAGTGAGTCTCTAGTAAATTATTCACTGATTCAAATGATTGGCTCAGAGTAAGTCTCCAGTATATCATTCACTGATTTAAACGATTGGCTCAGAGTGAATCTCCAGTATATCATTCACTGAATCAAATGATTGGCTCAGAGTGAGTCTTCAGTATATCATTCACTGATTCAAATGATCCGTTCAGAGTGTGTCTCTAGTAAATGATTCTCTGGTTCAAATGATCCGTTCAGAGTGTGTCTCTAGTAAATAATTCTCTGGCTCAAATGATCAGTTCAGAGTGAGCCTCCAGTAATTGATTCACTGATTCAAATCATTGGTTTTGAGTGAGTCTCCAGTATATCATTCACTAATTCAAATCATCTGTTCGGAGTGAATCTCCTGTAAATTTTTCACTGATTTTACAAGCTGATGTAAATGGAGTTCATCCTGTTTTTTGTTTTTTTAATTATCATGAATTATCAGTGTGAATATCAGAGTATGACAAGTTTTGGTAGTTAAATTTTCTTGCAAAATAAGCATTCGCCAATAATTAAACTCAAAATATATCGAAGAGGAGGATTTAATGCTTTTATTGGAGTAGTGTTTTGTTAGGCTATCTATTCTTTTACTGAAGTGCCTAATTTGTGTACTTCGTCCTTCACTGTAAACAAAGATTTTCTTTGCCAATATTATAATGTTGTGCCAGTATTAGTGGAGGGCAGTGTATAAGAGACACATTGAGTATGGTATAGTCAGGATGTGTTTTATTTGCAGCTCTTCTCTTCTGTACTGCAGGTGGTTGTGTTTTCTATATGTGACTGTATGCGGTGTGTGTTTGTGTGTGTGTTTCTCTCAGATGCCCGAACTTGCAGCATGGCGAACTGCCAGTATGGCTGTGAGGTAATGAAAGGAGAGGTTCGCTGCCAGTGCCCGTCTCCAGGTCTACAGCTGGCTCCAGATGGCAGGACCTGTGTGGGTACGTTTGTGTGTGTGTGTGTGTGTGTGTGTGTGTGTGTGTCTGTGTTTTTGTATGTTTATTTGTGTGTGTGTGTGTGCACATTATCATTCCTCCATACTATAAGCTAGTAAAGTGATGCTATCTATAAAAAATAAAAAAAATAATAAAGCAATAATAATAATAATAATAATGGCGATGTGGTAAAGCAGTGGGTGTTGTCTCACAGCAAGAAGGTCGCTGGTTCGAGTCCAGGCTGGGTCAGTTGGCTTTTTTGTATAGAGTCTGCATGTTCTGCTTGTGTTGGTGTGGATTTCCTTTGAGTGCTCCGATTTTTCCCAAAAGTCTCCCCACAAAGACATGTGCTATAGATGAATTGGGTAAGCTAACATGGCCGTAGTGTATGAGAGTGCATGGGTGTTTCCTAGTACTTGGTTGCAGCTGAAAGGGCATCCGCTATGTTAAACATATGCTGGATAAGTTGGCGGTTCAATCCGCTGTGGTGACCCCTGATGAATAAAAGGAATACGCCGAAGGAACATTAATGAAGAAATGATAATAGTAATGCAATTATTACACACATTAGAGTTGATAATAAATGCAACTCTCTCAACAAAATATTCCAAAATGTGTCAATATAATTATAATTAAATATAAAATATTTATCTTTTATTATTAATATTGCATTGTCAAGCATTCTGTATGCAAGTAAAATAACTTTAGCAGTATATAATGTTGTAATAATAGTATGCAAATGTGACATTTAATATGCAAATGGGTATTTAATATAATTATTTATTGCCAATAACTATTAGTCACAGAATATTTTATTTTGTCACATATTATAATAATCTTTTAATATATTACTAATGTAATAATTTTATTTTCTTTTATATATGTGTCTTATGTGTTCTTCCCTATTTACTTAATGATTTTGTGGCAAAATTAAGTTTAAAATAAATTATTTAATATTCATCTATTTATTTATTCATTCATTTTCTTTTTGGCTTAGTCCCCTTATTAATCAGGAGTCACCACAGTGGAATGAACCGCCAATTTATCCTGCATATCTTTTACACAGAATACGGCTTTCCAGTTGCAAGCCATCACTGGAAAAAACACATACTCTCATACACTACGGACAATTTAGCTTATCCAATTCACCTATAGCGCATGTGTTTAGACAGTGGGGGAAACATGCCAACTCCACAAAGAAATGCCAACTGACCCAGTCAAGACTCGAACCAGCAACCTTATTACTGTGAAGTGTCAGCGCTATCCACTGCACCATCGTGCTGCCCTTATTAAATATTAAGGTCCCACTTTATATTAAGTGTCCTTAACTACTATGTAGTTGCATCAAAAAATAAATACAATGTACTTACTGTGTTCATAATGTATTTGAGAACACTTGTGGTGCTCTTGAGTTGGGATAGAGGTTGGGTTATGGACAGGTTTGGTGGTATGGGTAGGTTTAAGGGTGGGTTAAGGTGTAGGGAATGGTCAGCAGTGTATTTACAAATGTAATTACAGAAGTTAATTACAGATGTAATTACATACAGGTATTTAATCAAGCATAAGTACACAGTAAATACATGTATTTAATAAGTACATTGTAACAAACTATTAATTCCTGTGCAAGTAAATATTAGTTAAGGCCACTTAATATAAAGTGGGACCAATATTAATAATAAATATATTCATTTATTGTTGATATACATAATAAACAGCCACATTACAATATTTTTCATGCAATTAAAATGTTTGAATATATTAAAGATTTTAAGTTATTATTCATGAGATCTTTTAATGAAATATCATGCCAGGAATGCTGTTTCCAGCTAGCATGAATGTATTTCTTTAATGCACTGTTAATTGCTGCAGGTAAAAGCATCTTCGTGAACATTAACAGATGAAGAATTCAAGCAGAAATAAAAGCATTAAATAATCATACGACCTCTTCAAGTCAAGAGAAAAGAGAGCTCGATCTGTCTAGCCATCTCTCATATGTGTGAAATAATGTTTCATGTGGCTGTCAGAGGAGATGAAAAACCTTTGCAATTTAGACATGTCACAAAACACAATGGCTTTTGTTCACAAAGGCAAGCTGTAAAGAGCAGCCCAGGTATTAAGACTTCTATAGCATAATGCTGACATAATGATGTAAAAGAAGTCTTTTTCTGAAATATGTTGTAGAAAAACCAACGACAGATTCACATTATTGAAAATGTGCGTTCCCTGTCCAAATGTCTGTCTCAGTTTCGGTGTATAAAGTTGAAACCAGAAGTTTACATACACTCTAAAAATTGAACTTTTTTATTTTTTTTTATTTCTGATTTTCTGATTTCTGATTGATTTTTACATTTTCTGATGGTAAATCATTCTAAACGTTTGCTATTTTAGGTCTGTTAGGATTACCTAAATCATTTACATTTGCTAAATGCCAAAATAATGAGAGATTTTGTCAAATTAATTTTTAGACAGTCAAAAGTTTGGTCAAATGTTTTGGGTATCCTTCCGCAAGCTTCTCACAATAGTTTGAAGGAATTTTTCCTGACAGAATTGGTGTAACTGAGTCAGATTTGTAGGCTGTCTTGCTTGCACAGGGCTTTTTTAACTCTGCCCCCAAATTTTCTATAGGATTGACTTCAGGGCTTTGTGATGGCCACTCCAAAATATTCACTCTGTTGTCCAGAAAGCACATTTGAACTAATTTGGCAGTATGCTTAGGGTCATGGTCTGTTTGGAAGACCCGTTTGTCGCCAAGTTTTAATTACCTGGCTGATGTCTTGAGATGTTGCTTCAGTATTTCTACATAATGTTCTTTCTTCATTATGCCATCTATACTGTGAAGTGGGCCAGTCCCTCCTGCAGCAAAACAGCCCCACAACATGATGCTGCCACCCCCATACTTCACAGTTGAGATGGTGTTCCTTGGCTTGTAAGCTTTCCCCTTTGTCCTCCAAATGTAACTGGTCATTATGGCCAAACAGTTCAATCTTAGTTCCATCAGACCACAGGACATGTCTCCAACAATTAGTCTTTTCCCAGTGTAATTTAGCTAATAGTCATCTTTTTTGTTGTTGTTTGTTGTTGATTCTGGCTTGTTGATTTTTCTATGTTGTCACACAAGGAAGCAGTGTGTTTGAGGTTTTTCTTAAATACTATTGTACAGTTGTGCCTCCAATGAACTCAAATGTTGTCAATTAGCCAATCAGAAACTTCCAAAACCTTGACATCATCATCTGAGCTTTTTCAGAGGCATAATAATCTTATTATATGTAAACTTGACTTTCAAGAAAAATTAAAAAAATTTCTCAAAAAATCTCTCTCCCATTATTCTGCTATTAAGCATAACAGAAACTAATTTACTAATCCTAACTTACCTAAATGAATTAACACATCAACATCTGACTTTTTTAAAATGGTTTTTGCCTTTTTCATACAGTGTATGTAAACGTCTGGTGTCAACTGTATTAAGGCTGCAACTAACAATTATTTTTATAATTGATTAATCTGTTGATTATTTCTTTGATTAATCGATAAATCGGATTTAAAACAAAACAAAACAAAACAGGAAAAGCATTCATTTCCAACCTGTTATTAAGAAAAGGCTCATCTCTGAGCTGTTATATTAATAATAATAATAATAATAATAATAATAATAATAATAATAATAATAATAATAAAATAAAAACTAAAGAGTTATGTTCAGTTTTCAACCCAAATGTCTAAAAAAAAATCAAGATACATACTAGACCAGGGATGGGCAAACTTGATCCTCAAGGGCCGGTGTCCCTGCAGAGTTTTGTTCCAACACTAGTCAAACACACCTGAACAAGCTCATCAGTGTCTTCAAGATCACTAGAAATCTATAAGCAGGTGTGTTTGATTAGAGTTGGAGCTAAACTGTGCAGGACACCAGCCCTCCAGGACCGAGTTTGCCCACCCCTGTACTAGACACATGAAATAGCTTAAGAAATTATGTCTTGTTTTCTGAAAAAAACACCTTAAAATATGTTATTATTTGCTTAAAACAAGCAAATTTATTTGCCATTGGGGTAAAAAAAATAATATATAATTAATAATATATAATCTCAAGCATCACTTAATTTTCTCATGTCATTTTTTTCTCTAGAGAACAGGTGTGATTTACTTTTTTAAACAAAAACGATGTTCTAGAATCAACAGATGTTAATCCAGGATCGCACTGTACTTGGCAAATTCATGATGTGCAGCATACATTGTGCTGCTTTAAGCCATACACGTCTCAATAATCAGGGTGCCCTTTAAGGGTCTCAACAGTCCTTGACAACAGAGCCTGCGCTTTATTCTGTTGATATGCTAATTACACTTTAGGTGCCTGGAAGTTTGATTATGGCATTCGTTAATTACTGCATTAATGACCTTCCATCGCCACAGAAACCAAATCCAACAGAAATATTCAGAGGAAGCTCGTATTCAAATTTAAAGGGGACCTATTATGCAAAAATCACTTTTATAAGGGGTTTAAACAGTTGTGTGGCAGCAGTCAATGAATATAACCAGCTCCTAATGATAAAAAATGTATTAATTTTACTTTTTATAATCACACTTGATAAAAACAGTCCGCAGAAACACTTTGATTGACATTCTCCTGTTATACGTGTCATAAGAGAAAGAGAGCTCCGCCCATTAGTGACAATTTCACCCTCATTAGCAAAGGACGTTAGCTTTGTTTTTGAATCCACCACTATGCTGACACAAAGGCATGTGTAGCTCCGCCCTCTTTTAAAAAGAGTACAATCTCATTTGAATTTAAAGAAACAGTTACCAAAACAGCACAATTACGATTTAAGCCTAAAGGGGGCAGTTTAAAAGAGTTATAAAACATTATGTGTGCCATATATTGAGCTGAAACTTCACATGCACACTCTGGGGACATCAGAGGCTTATTTTACATCCTAATTCACAAATGGAATTCGGCTAATTGAGCAAGTTAACCTGCGCCACTTCACACACATACATCTTCAGAAATCAACAGAAACATTCGAAGGAAGCTCATATTCAAATTTAAAAGGGAAACTATTATGCAGAAATCACTTTTATAAGGGGCTAAACACAGTTGTGTGGCCACAGTCTGTGAATATAACCAGCATAAAATAGGAAAAATTTATTAATGTTGGCTTTTATAATCACACTTGATAAAAACAGTCTGCAGAAACACTTTGACATTCTTCTGTTATACGTGTCATAAGAGGGAGAAAGCCCCGCCCATTAAGGAGGATCTCACCCTCATTAGCATAGGACGTTAGTCTTGTTTTTGAATCTGCCACTATGTTGACACACAGGCATCTGTAGCTCCGCCCTCTTTTGAAAAGAGCACAATCTCATTTGAATTTAAAGCGACAGTCACCAAAACAGCAAAATTACGATTTAATGCCTAATGGGGCAGTTTAAAAGAGTTTAAAAAAACATTATTTGTGCAATATTTTGAGCTGAAATTTCACATACACACGCTAGGGACATCAGAGGCTTATTTTACATCCTGTAAAAAGTGGTCCCCTTTAATTAACAAATGGAATTCGACTAATTGAGCGAGTTAACCTGTGCCACTTCCACACACATACCTCTTCAGAAAATCTTCCCCCTTTTTCTGGAGGCAATGAGTGCAGAAAACTGTGTTTTTTGTTTTTTTTTTACTGGAGGACCATCAATCAGAGACTGACCATCTTAATGCTTCACAGCACAGGTGTTCAACTCTTCAGGTATTCCAGCAAGGACATTTATTGCTCCGAGGAGGGCAGCTCCTGTCAGATGGATGTCTGTACATGCAGACAGAAGTGTTAAGTTTGCCGCTCGCTGCTCTCAGACTCATGCGGAGCGCTGATGTATGTCTCACTTTAGTTTAAGACAAGACACTGCAGGTGAATGGCGGGAATATAATAGTTAAATTAGTCAGATTTCCCAGGCTACGTTTAAATATGCAAATCAGACATTGTTGAATGAAATATGCACCATTTATCGTGAAAATCTCAACAGAGAAACATGTTCAAGTTTTTAATTGTTTAAAATTATACAGTGAATGGATTTATGCTACAAAGAGACTCCCCAAAACTGTGTTGTATAATTAATAATGTATACAATTGAAAATGATTAGCCCTCGTGTGAAATTTTAATGTTTTTAAAAAATATTTCCCAAATTCTGTTTAACAGAGAGAGTTAACACATTTTTCAAACACAGTAGTTTAAATATCTTATTTCTTTTGTTTTTGCCACATTTACAGTACATAATATTTGATCAGTACATAATCTTGTGTTTGTTTTTTGCAGATGTGGATGAATGTGCCGCAGGTCTTGCTGTTTGTCCCCGTTTCCGGAAGTGCATCAACACATTTGGGAGTTACATCTGCAAGTGCCATGACGGCTTTGACCTTCAGTACGTCAATGGGAAATATCAGTGTACAGGTAAACATAGTGCACATTCATGGGATAGCAAGCTTTGATTTGAACACACTTCATATTTATTTATTCTCATAGTTTATTTTAGAGATAACAGCAGGTCTTAATTTGGGCCGGAACATGCCAGATCCGGATCTGGCACCTCATTTTACTGATCCCCCTTCTCAACCGCTCACCTCCCCCGTCCGTTGTTTACTTTTACTTTCTTGCACAACTCCCCAACCCTCTTCACTTTTGTCCGCGACACCCCTTTCCCATCTAACGCCCGCCATCCCCCCTGCTCTTCACTTTTGTCCGCGACAACCGTAACCAACCCCCCTCCCCCAGTCTCAACTTTTATGCGTGACACCTTTACATCCCCGGGTAACATGCCGGATCCACTACCCCGATCTGTTCACAATTCACAAATTAATCACTGGATGACAGATATAGATAACTACTTTTATAGATAACTGAGACTTTCTATAGATAAAAATATACAATTACACCAGCAAAATGTGTTCCAAAAATAGGATATATTCCAGCAAAATGTATGAAGTGGTCAAAAATGATGTCTGACCTATTAACTCTCTTCCAATGTTCTGCAGTCTCATTTACGGTGCCTTTATTTATTTATTTTTCTTTGGCTTAGTCTCCATTTCAGGGGTAGCCATAGCGGAATGAACCGCCAGCTATTCCAGCATATGTTTTACACAGCGGATTCCCTTGTAGCCACAAGCCAGTAGTAGGAAACACCAATACACTCTCACATTCACACACACTCATACACGATGGCCTATTTAGTTTATTCAATTCACCTATAGCACATCTGTCTGTACTGTGTGGGGAAACCAGAATACCAGGAGGAAACCCACACCAACATGGGGAGAACATGCAAACTCTGCACAGAAATGCCAACTGACCCAGTCGAGGCTCAAACCAGTGACCTTCTTGCTCTAAGACGATCGTCTCTACAATTAAGGAAACAAAACACAAACAAGCTATATTTAATCTAAAAAGTAGACTTTCAAAATTGGCGGAACACTGTAATCCATTGTATGAATTTAAATTGGCAAAATAATAAACAGATATATTTAAAGTAGAGTACTCAAGAACAGCCTTGCAGAAAAATAAGCAAAATATGAGCCCAAAACCTGTCAAACACTGCTGGAATTGATTAGCATTATTTGATTTGATGATTGTCAAACAGTGAAAAACTTTTCCCTTTTGATTGCTTTTGCTAAACTGATCTGCTACTTCACTTTCATTCCTGCCAACAGTGGAGATTTTGTGCCAAGCTTATCAATATAGTGCCAATTTCATTTTTATTTTTTCAAACATCAGTCTTTTTCAGTTTTTAACAAATAGAAAGATTTCTCTTTTCCAAAAGTTATTCTTAGCATATATCCCGTTGTTATTAATATATGTAATAATAGATATATTATTTATATATTAAATTTACGAGAAAAAAAAAAATCCAGATCAGTTCTGCTTTAATTATTTAATGAATATTTGTTTCAGATGTCAATGAATGCTCTTTGGGTCAGCACCAGTGTGGTCCATACGCCACCTGTTATAACACACCTGGTTCATACAAGTGCAAGTGTAAAGAAGACTACAGAGGCGTGGGCTACGACTGCAAACGTAAGTATGCAAGGCAAACTTAATCTACAAATTCAGAAATAAAGGTACAAAATCTGTCACTGCGGTGTACCATACATGTAGACATTAGTGGAGCTGGGCATCGATGGATTTGCTCTTCAGTGTTTGGACTTACAGCAGAGAAAATAAAACCTCACTGAACTGAACTAAACTGAAGTACAATTCTGAAAACTGAACTGACGCAGTTTTAGTTCACTAGAACTCAGTGGTGGAAAGAGTACTGACAAATCATACTTAAGTAAAAGTACCATTATTTGCCTAAAAATGTAGTGCGAGTAAAAGACTCTGTTGTAAATATTACTTAGAGTATAATTAAAAAGACTCAGACCATTCAAAAAGTGCTCAAGAGTAGTGAGTATTAGGCTGTAAAAAGCTGACGTATTTACATGTAATTTGTGGATGTGTGTAAACGTAATATTCTGTAGTGCATTTAGTTATTGCCCAGCAAGCACAAGACGTTATCGATGTTAATAGTAGGTTAAATTTAGGTTGTGACATCAGATGACCAAAATTCAATGTCAAAGGATGGTATTTTCATCAATAACAACATCAAATGACATTGATATTTGACTGATTTCAGGTTGTGTTGGAAAGTGACCAAATTCCAACGTTGAGCCGATATCTTAAAAATGTAAAAACTGACATATTTTCATCAGTTATGGCAACCAAAAGCCAACGTCTAATAGACGTCATAAAGGTAACGTCCACACAACGTCAACATTAACATCATTAGATGTTGATATTTGGTTGATTTTAGGTTGGAAGTTGGACATTGACGTCAAACCGATTTTCATTCCCAAAGAAAACACAACGTCCCCACTACATTGAGGTACAACGTCAATCTAACGTCATGTTGTCGCCCTGTGTTGGCTGGGTGTTTAAGGCTATTTCAGTCATCGTACAGTAAACATCCGCCATCTTCTCAACAGTGACGATCTCTGGGTCAATGCGTGAAAAGATTTTGGACATCTTCTTTGCTTTATGCTTCTAAATAATTTGCTGCAATTATAAAGCGCACATGTCTTGAAGTACTTCCGTATGAGGTGATTCACTTTCTATGTGTGATTTGATTGGACAGGAAACACAGGACTGCTTTTTCTAATCCCTGTAGACAAACAAAAAAAGTAGTGGCTGCAGGTTGAAGGAAAATAGTGAAGTTAAAGTACTTAAACTGTACTAAAAATGTACTCAAGGGAAAGCAAAAGTACACATTTTCACTTTAAACTACTTAATAAATTACAATTCCTGAGAAAAACTACTCAATTACAGTCCAATGATCATTTGTAACTTTACACCCTTGCTAGATCTACTATGTTAAGCTGCTGACACCATCTACATTGTAAAAGCGCTATAGAAATTTAAATGAGTTAGTACCTTTAGGCTACACTTTTGTACCTTTAAGATATTGTGAGGTACACGTTTGTACTTTTTAGGTATTATTATGTACCTTTAAGGACCTGTTAGGAACAAAAATATACATTTTAAAAAGGTTCTGCCCCAGTGACAGATTTTGTACCTTTATTTCTGAGCATGTACAAATGTAATATTGCAATCTACGAGTCTACTGTTACTGCTACAATGAGCACATTTAAATTAAACAGAAAAAAAACACAACAATAAAAACATATAATTTGGATAAATGAACAACACTCCATGCACAAACTAATCACATTACAGCTCAGGCAACAATTTAATTGCTCCCCATCTGTTCTCAGATTTTGATTAATTCCCATTAAAAAGCAGCTGCACGATGTAGAATAAGGTGGAACGGCGCTTTAAAAGCACGTCAGGATAGCGGTTTGAAAAGTCAGGAATCATTAGTATAAAGGCTTTCAAGCAAGGTTATCATTAAGAGGTAAAATGGCACGCGGTCGTCCCTGGAAAGTAGATAACCAAGCAAAGAGGCCGATCACAGTAGCTGCCAGAGATTGATGGACTTTAAAAGAGCCACAGACCTTTTTGTGCCAAAGACTGCTCTGGGTTGTGTGTGAGAGTGGCAACAAAGTACCAGCGTTATTAAAAAGTTTATGACCTCTGCGGGTTAAACTACCGCTGCCGCAGCGATGAATGCATCTTCTCTGTAGAATTGTTTTGCTCCGCGCGGGATTGGTGCACTTGTCAGGCTAGAAAAGAAGATGGATGGTGCAAAAGTCTAGATGAAAAGCCTGGAAGTTAAGCGCAGGAAGATTGTTCACCTTTCAGCGTGACAGCATCCTGTAGCACTCTGCCGGTGGAGCGTAAAGCAGATGAATGACGGGAAGAGGAATGTGGAGCAGTGACTGAAACTGTTGAGAAATTTCTGGAATGAATCTGCATGGATTGATACTCAAAAGGTCACCCTGCATGCTTTTGTAGATGATAATACATTTTAATATTTATTTCACTAGTGCGATTTTGTTTTAAAGAGCCTCTATTATGGGTTTTTGAGAATGACCTTCCATGTAGCGTGTAATACAGCTCAAAATGAAGTGAAATATCCAGCTAAGCCTTAAATCTGTAAGTAGACAGTGTTTAAAACTATTAATTCATTTATAAAAGCGTCGACTCCTAGTACTTCAAACGAATCGTCTTGATAACGAGTCTTTCGCCGTTTCGACGTGATGTGAATACGAAACTTAAGCCCCGCCCAGTTGTTGCGCGCACAAACCCGGGAAAATTTAAACATGTGGCCCCGCCCACTAGCAAAAAAAAAAAAAAGACGAAAAAACCCAAAGATGAAACTGTGAAGAGTCGGTGGTTGAGGTGTATTTTTGCAAAAATACCTCAGCATTATAGCCCAGCCTTGCGCTGTTTGTGTGCTTCTGGAATCTACACACTTACAATGGGGCATTTGACGGCAGTTTGTTAAAGGAAGGATCAGAAAAGACTATTGATGTAAGGGACTATGTCAGTACATGGATCAGTGAACCATGGATCAGTTTCTTCCTCCATTTCACAAGTGAAAGTAAGTGTGGTTAAAAAGATACCTGCCAACACTCCTGTTTTTCATGGGAATCTCACGACTCATCTCCTGTGTTGGTCTGTCTACTAGAAAACTCCCGGAATTTCACTCATCTCCCCCCTGCTCCTCAATCTTCAGTTTTTCTCCCGCTCTTCGGTTCGCAAATCGACCAATGTCTGTGTGTTAGTAACTATTATGAAGCGTGTTTCGGGCGGCAGCTGCAATCGGATCTTATATCAATGTTGGCGACACAGATCGTACCAAAATGCTGGGGTGGTTGAAATTACCGGAGTATTCCGGGATAAATAACAAAATGGGTAGGTGGCTGGAGATGGGTCTGAAACACGGGAGACTCTCGAGAAAAACAGGAGTGTTGGCAGGTATGCTCGCACACACTCTATTTAATGTATGATAGGGGCTCTTTAAAGAGCTTCTATTTTGCATTATAAAAGGTCATATTTTGGTTTGGGGGGTCTCCAACCACAGACTGAGATGCTTGCAAAGTCAAAAAACACTTTCATTGTCTTATACTTTGCATTTATTTTGACCTCATTATGCTAATGATTCCTATATGATTCATTCAGTGATTAATTTGTTTCAAAACCCCTCCTTTGCATGATTGGTTTGATGACCCAGTCTGTTGTGATTAGACGACTATGTTCAGCAAAAGACAGGGATAAACTCCCTCCATGGCTATAAAGTAGCAGAGATTATGTCAGAGCCCAATGCAGGAATGCAATACAGCAGTGCAGATAGCCACCAGCATATTACTCTACTCCTAAACCTAACCACAAGTAATAACGACACACATTCAGTATTAATCCACACAGTGGCAAAAGTTGAACTATTTAGAAATTTGACCTTTAAATTGTTACATTATTTATTCATTATTTTAAAAGCAAGAAATGGCATTTCTGATACATATTTTCTTTCAAATATAGTGAAAATGGCAATCCTTGTGCACAGTAAGGGCTTTAAGGAATTTATTGTAGGTGCCGTGATGCTTCAGAGCCGATGTCTGGAATTCTTTTGTCTGCTGCGCCTTTAGTGACTTGCGGATGAGAGCCGGTGTGTTGTTAATCTTGTTAACAAAGAGAGGATCACCTTGAGCATCAGATGACAACACAACCGCGCACTCTTCACTTGCACTGACTGCCGCTTTCACACACCTCCATCAGCCGCTTTATTTATATAGCATTATTCATGCATCACCTCAGTCTACTTGATCTTGTTATTATTTGGTAAGTGGACAGAAATACAGTTGTCTGACGTCTGATTTAATCATTGTTAAAGCAGCGAGGCGACTCATCCCTCCTCAGCATCTGTTCTGGAAACTTTAAGCCAGGTGTTACTTAAAAAGTGCCGAAAGGCTTAAATTACTGCCTCTCGGGAATCACATATCAAAGCTCCTGTGTGAAACCTGAGACGGAATTGTCACATTCAAACCGTTAGTGCTGCCTTCTTAAAGATGACACGAGCACGAAAGTTTAGGGTGCTGGTATTGTTGTCCAATGTGATGGATGACTTTCATGCATTCATTGTACACATCAGCTATAAACATACTTTGCAATTTCAGCAAAAACAAACAAAAGTATGCATTTATCAAGTTTCTATTTGAGCCTAACTGTGACTTTTGGTCTTTTTTTGTGCTCTTAGTTTTCACTTTAAATTAATATGGTGAATTAATGTGCACACACACACATACAGTGCAAATACATACTTCATGGGGACTTTTCAAATAAATAAAAAATTTAACACTGTACAGAGAGTAGCCATTAAACAACTTTGTTTAATAGACATCTGATACAGCTTGGCTAAAACAAGGCTAAACTTGGGCTGTCAGTGAAAATCTAATAGACATCTAAGAATAGCCCAAAACTACACTAGTCATCAAATAGACAGATTAGACATATCTAATAGATATTTTTATGTCAAAACACCACAGCAAAGCGAGGTCAGCCATGCGGAGATTGCGCGTTCTCGGTGTCTCTCTCTTCTTTGGCATGCTCTTGGTGTCGCATGCACTTGCTCTCTCCTTTTGCACACACTTGTTCTCTCTATCGGAGTTAACCCCTCAAATTGACACAGGTAGTAAAAATATTTAACTTCAGTCATGTTTATGTTGTGATATCAAAATCAAATCAAAATGTCTACTGTTGATTACATTAGACTTTTGTTTTTGATTTAGAGCATTTAATATATATAATAAAAATGACGCTTTTACGCCTGGCGTTTTGCACGTTGGGTTGGCACAATTACATTGGCACCTTTTATTTAGTCTTTATTTAGTCCGGTAGTCATTCATTTCTGTTTATTTGATGACTAGACAAGTTTTGGAATATTCCAAGACATCTATTAAATTTTGGGACAGCCCAAATTTAGCCTTGTTATAGCCAAGATGACTATACTTAGACATCTATTAGATATCTTTTGTATAAAAAATGTCATTCTGTGTGGTTTATGAGATGTTTTTCCTCATTTAGTCTCCACGATGTGATGAATACAAGGTACACACACAAACATATGAATCGTGTTGACAATGATCGCAAATAAAAAAAAATAAAACTGCTTAAATGAACAGTTCACACAGATACTGAAATTTTAAGTTTAAATTTACTGTTAAATAAGAGAGATTTAAAACTAAAACTAGGACCAGTTAAACCATCTTAGCACCAGTTAGACCAGGTTTAAACCATTACCTATTAAAGAAGAAAATAAACACAAGTTATGACTTGATTTTGTTTTCACATTACCTACAAATAAACAGGCAATCCTCTTTGTTCTCTTTTAGCCATCCCAAAGGTGGTAATTGACCCTCCACGACCTGGAAAGACCACACCGAGCAGCAATAACAACAAAGGCGGCAACAAAATTCCAGGATCAGACCAAAAGAGGACCACCACAACAGTAAGACCTCCAGTAACGGCCAAACGCATCTCACCTACAATCACCACCACCACCACTACCACCAAACCTCCTCCAACCAAAAAAATCACCCCTCCAGCAAGAGTCCCGGTGACCACCACCCGTAAGCCATTCATCCCAACAAGGAAGCCCCCTGTGCTGGTGACAACCAAACCTAAGGTCCCGACTCACCAGCACACCACCACAAAAGTCCCAGTGGTTACAGCAGTGGTTCCTTTTATCCCAACACGCAGACCTTTCACCATCCCGTTTGTGACACCAATTGATAACAGCATCAAAGACATCACCCAGAAACAAAGAGGCGATGTTCACAGTAAGTAAATCTTCAATACTTTATAATTATTGTGAAATATTTGCCAATATTTTTGGAGTTCAAACGGGTCCATTGTTTATTGTCAATAGTAGAGCAGAAAAAATCTCAAAGCAATGAGATTTTATCTCAAAGCATATTTCTGCTGGTCACTGTGCAGAATCTGTTTGATCAACTTAAACCGCCAGGAGATCTTTGTGAAAGTTCAACAAAGACTGTTCTGACCTGCTCAACATTTTAGCTTACAGAAAGATTCCTGCGAGCAACTCTTGGATGTTTTATAAGGCTAAATGCACACTTTTTCCATTAATACATTTACTCTCCATGCACACTCATACTCAACAGTCAAAGTGGCATTAGGTCACTTAAGTGTAAGGAAGAACTCAAGGCAAGGTATCGGGTTCCATTTGTCATTGGGTCATAGCAGCCTAGAACAGGGGTGTCAAGCTCAGTTCTTGGAGGGCTGCAACCCTGAACAGGGCCACCCTGCTTGAACCCTTTCAGGCTCAAAATAAATTTTAGAAACAGGCAAAATGTATGCTTTTAACTGTTGCAAATCAGCAACGCCTGCCTTGAGAGGGTTAATACACTTACCAGGAGGTTTCAAACACGACTAAAGCACTCAATTGTTTGATCAGATGTGTTTAATTAGGATTGGAAGTAAACTGTGTAGTGTTGCGGGAACTGAGTTTGGCACCTGTGGCCTAGAAGATTCTAGCTAATCTGGGCAGGATAGAAACCCTACAGGAGCAGGACTGGACACTTGAGTTAAAATGCAAGATCTTCAGGATCTGGATTAGACACCTTTCATTGCTTGAACCAACCTGAAAGAGTTTTGAGCCTGATCCATGCTAAAGAGGCAAAACCATAACAATTTTATTGAAGCCATACAGTAACCTTGTGGGCTAAGAGCAATCCAAGTCCTTTTATGGCACAATTACCCTCTTCTACTCTGCCAAAATGTACTGCTTGTCCTCTTACTGTGCCATTTGAAGAAAGGAAAGGATTTCAGTAAATTTAATCTTGAAAATACCATGCAAGTTTCCACAATAGCTGTCAATGCCTATGTATACACTAAATCAAGTAGAACCCAATGGGAGATTTGTGTGGTGATCGTGTGTTTTGTTTACCTTTTAGGAGCTTAGGAGCTTGTTTATGTGATTGTTTTAGAACTTCCGATTCAGTGGCCTGAGGAAGAAATGACTAGAAATAATAAATGGCAGAAAATGGTCAAAGAACTTGCTTTACAAACAACTATGTGTTCATGATAATACATGAAAAATAGAATAATATAAGAAGAAAATGTCAGTTGCAACACTAAGCAGCTGTTTTTAACGTCTAAAAATCAATGGAAGTTAAAGAGACTGGAAATATCGGTCCAAAAAGATTCCAATGGCTGCACCGGCTTGTACATGAAGAATAGGGTCAATGTCTACACTTTGTCAGAGATTGGAATTAAGCAGGCTCCAAGTAGAGTTATACTCAACAGTCAAAGCAGAACTATTCCACAAACGTGTGCACTCAGATGAAGACTGCAAGTGTTTGGGGTGCCTTATAGGATTGGGTCATACCTGCCAGGAAGATTCTAGTAATCCCGAGGACCTTGAATTGTTTGGTTCAGTTGGGTTTAATTGGGATTAACTTAACTCTGCAGGACAGAGACCACCATGGAGTAGGACTGGACACTTGATGGGGGCGGTTATGGGATTAATGGTTAGAGAATCAAAACTCTGGCCATTTTAGACTAGGGGGAGTGAATGAAAAGCAAACTCTTCCACCTTTAATACCCATGACTAAGGTTATGGGATTAATGGTTAGAGAATCAAACTCTGGCCATTGTAGACTGGGGGAATGAATGCAATGCAAGCTCTTCAACCTTTAATACCCATGACCGAGGTGCCTTTGAGAAAGCAAACTCATGCCTAATTGCTCCCCGGGTGCTACAGTAAATGGCTGCCCGCTCCTCCAGCTGTGTGTTTGCAGCTCGCTGCTGTGTGTGTGAATTTAGATGAGCCAAAACTCACAGTACAGATACAGTGATCATACATAGTCACTTCTTACTTTTTCAGCTGAACTGCAGGATTAGACAACCATGCATTAAGCCCTACTCACACAGTGAGATTTCAGCAATGATTTGATCATCTGAGACCAATTTGGGAAATCATAAAAGATTCTTGGAATCCCAAGCTAAAGTCTGCGGCTGGTTTGCACATCTTCACCAAAATCCACTTAATAGCCGTTGCGATCAGATTATTTCCTCTGATTAAGGCCCCGTTTACACTAGTGCATTTTAGTTTTAAAACTGCGTTTTAGATCAAAAACTATCCGCGTCCACACTAGCGTTTCACCTAGCGTCTCTAAACATCTCTCCGTCCACACTACACCACCAAAAACGTATATCACATGACCATTTGCGCACTCTGGGCTTGCGCATTCTAATATAAACAGAAAGCATGCGTCTCGCTCGGCATTTGGTTATTGTTAGTCAAAAAACGCTGGTTGAACATTAAACGCGATGGCAAAGAAAGCAAGAGAGGTATTTTTGTGGACAGATGACGAGGTCCAGTTGTTACTAAACGTAACACATGAATAACTGCACAACGGTGCCTAAAACAGTAAATAGTGCAAACAACGCTCCCATTTCTGTGCCCATGTTGTTGTTTACAGAACTGTCTTTCGGTAGCGTTAAAGCCATGTGTTATAGTCATGTGATAGGGTTGATGAATAAGGGAAGGATACGTAATGACACAAAAGCCCCAATCAGGTAGCGAATCTCAGCAGTCCCGCCTCCGTTTTCAGATGTCTCAGTTTTTCCTCATCCACACTGAGATGGAGCAGCAGCGTTTTAGAATGAAAAACGAGAACTCGAGAACTCTGGCGTAGTGTGGACGGATGGTAAAACCGTAGGAAAACTTATGCATTTTAAAACGAAAATGCATTAGTGTAAACGGGGCCTAAGTCAGAAGCTTTCAAACACTTTCCTACAGTGTGACTTCAGCTGTGACGAGCATCAAACCAAGAACCAATTGCAGAGCAGAATCTGATGATGCAATCAGCATGACAACTTCAAACCACTAATGGCTAATCTGATTTCATTATTGAGGCACGCTTTGAGCAAAATTACCTCTACAGTTTGAGCCGGACTTTAGTCAGTCCAGACTAAAAAAGTTTTTAGAGCCTGATTTTAACCAAAGAAACAAAACCACAACACTTCTGTTAAAACCATATCCCTGCATGCGGATGCCTCAGTACTTGTAGTTGCACGTCAAGAGGCTTAAGCATCTTGTCCCAGATAGTATTGGTAATTTGGCAAGTTATTAAAAAGTAGGCACATTTTTAAATTTCAGGAGTTTGCCTGCATACCATTAAATAGAAATACCGGAACGTGCCATGTTTACTTTGCCAAGTACACTTTCATACAGGTAATGTGCCTTTACACATGCTTCTCTGTGAACTCTTTAAGACTGCAGAGCTTCCCACATTGCTTCATGATTCAAAAGCATTCTCACAAGCCTTTGCTGAGTTTGCACTAGGGTACACAACAGTCCATGTGGTCTTTTGTACCAAATTTGTGAATATCCGTGAAGGACCGCTGTGTGTAACATTTGGGACTGGCCTGTGAAGGACTTTGGATGTATCAATATATATATATATATATATTTCTGGGCTCAAAGTTCTATGTTGTTCCCTTCATGTTCTTAAGCTCTTTTAGGGCATCTCTTGAGATTGCCACAAGGCAAAACCGGTGGGCAGATTTTTCAGGAAAGCGAATTGCTTCCCAAAGCCTCCTATCCAGATGACAGCACCTAATGAAAACAGAAGACACACCTAGAGAGATTACATTACCAGTCGGCCCTGCCTCAGGACATAAATCTGTTACCCTGTGCTGTCTCCGATGGCTTACAATAGGCCTAATAAATAATGATGGCCCTGAAAATAACTGAGGATACAAGGCAAATAGACACCTAGGGTATAAGGGTATAATTATGCCTCTTTAATCAATTAGGGACAATAATGATCTTGTCAAAGCTGTTCAGTTCCACCATTAACACCTGCAGTGTGCAATGACCTTAGGGTGAAGTTGCTTCACTGAAGTTCTTATTAGTTTTGGGGATGTTTTTTTTTTTGTGCTGTCACAAGCAAAGGCTTGAGGGATAATTGAAATCAATAGACTAATCACAGACTTGACCTCCTTCCAGCTTTTGTCCTGCCATATATTTGATGTACGCATTCTTGCACTTGTCTCCAATCGTCCATTAAGTCATTCGGTTATAGGTAAAAGAATTGATAGGGCAACTTGTCCTGAACATTTATGTTCAATTAGGAACAGGTTATGAAGTGTAATACAGTGTAATAATATAGCTTTAATTCATTTAGTACATTAGAACATGTCATGGTTAATGGCTATCATACATTTTTACCATGATTTACAGAGGATGCCCACTAAAGTATCATTAAGTCTAATGGGAGATATATTTGTGCATATTATACTTTGCCGGTCAACGTTTCTGATGATGTGAGTTTGTTTTATACATATGCATGCTTTGGTAAACAAAATGTATGTATTTAGTTCAATTGTATTTAATTTTTTAATGAAATGTTATTGTTTTGAGGGATATTGAGTGTATTCTGACCTCCAGTAATTACCGTAATATATCTAACAATCATGTCTGGTGGAATTACTATAGTCAATATAATTTTCTTTCCCCCATTCTAGTACCACGAAATCATGGGAAGAACAATGTTCTTGGTATCGATTTAGACATTGAACTGGGCAACACCGAAGAGGAGCTGAAGGATGACCCAGGTAAGACAAAGCTGCTTTTATTTCTGCTGAAATCGCGGACGGATTTTCGCTATTCAGTGAACAGTGCAGTTCGTAGATACATAGACAAAGCACTTGGGAACACAATAGCGAGACTATACATGTGTACGGTTCCCTGTTATTTACCTCACAGGCATTTTGTAGTTATAAATCTTGACTTATGATATTGCAGCAGATGAATTGGATCAGCGGTGTGAGGTTTAACAGCTTTCACAAAGATCCCCACGCTTCACTGATCCCTGTGGGAAATTCGGGAATAGCACTGTTCTGAGTTACTTTTCATTTAGCAGTTTCACTTACACACTGCTGCAAGGGCAGTTCCTCTGTTTAGTGTGTTACTCCAGGGCATGATGATAATGGAAGATCTCAGTTAATGGGCATTGTGAATTGAACCTGCGGTTCTGGGAATACCAGCCCAGAGCCTTAACCAATATTTTGATTGTTTGCACACAGAGTGTGAAATTAACACTCGCCACCAGCCATATTGCATTGCTATTGGTTAGTGTCAAGGACTGATCTCAGTAAACAAATGCCATAAATAATCTTTACAGAGCTCTGGTATCACATATAACATAAAATTGTGCTATTGCAGAGTCTGGCTATCTGAGCTGCTCATTTGATCACGGTTTGTGTGGATGGATCCAGCGCAGAGAGGGAGACCTTCATTGGGAGACATCGGAAGATCCTTCGGGTTGGTATTATGTGATTTTTCATTGGAATGTCATTGGGTCAATGACGAATGAGGTTGTCTCAGATTATAAAATGAAAAATGAATTAAAACTCGACACAGGTGCCATGTTCATAAAAATACAGATTTTGTATTCATGCTTTGCACTCAAGATTTTTCCATGACTCCATAAAGGTCAAGTGCTGTAATCATTACCAAGTACTAAAATGTGAAATACATTTTAATCGTTGAATTAAAAAATATGTATATATTTTTTATTGCGTATATATGTGTGTGTGTGTGTGTGTGTGTGTGTATATATACACACACACACACACACACACACATATATATATATATATATATATATATATATATATATATATATATATATATACACACATATACATGTACATGTTTGCAATTTGCAATTTACTATATATATATATATATATATATATATACATACATACATATATATATATATATATATATATATATATATATATATATATATATATATATATATATATATATAGTAAATTGCAAATATTAAATTATGTGCTTAAATTATGCACAAAAAAAGGGTACCTCAAAATTTAAAAAATATATATTTAAAGTATATCTCAAGTTAGAATATTCCTAATTTTTCAATTCTGATGTCAACGGCAGGTGGGAGGTACCTAACCATCTCTGAGGGCGGGGAGAAGCGTGGTGGGCGTGGTGCTCAGCTGATCCTCCCCCTGAAAACCCCCTGGAACGAGGGGAACCTGTGCTTGGCCTTCAGACACAACATGGCAGGTCACCATGTGGGAATGCTGCAGGTGTTCGTACAGAAAGGTCGGCAGCACAGTCCCGCTGTCTGGGGACGAACAGGAGGAAACGGCTGGAGGTCCACACAGATCACCCTTTGGGGCAATGGGCTAGAAAGTGTAAGTATAAACTTTGTATATAATAAATGTAGACTAAAAGTCAGTGCAGCTACCATCAGCAAAAGCCTTTTATTTGCACTGCTCCCTGCTGGATTCAAACCAGCATCTCTAGCATGGCCCTGGGTTCATTAACAAGCTAAAAACACCAGTTGGTAGTGTGCCACTAGTGAGAGAAACCTCTGCCCATACTTGCTAGCATCTATTACACTCACTCCACTAAGCCTTAGTCCCATTCTGGGTCACAATACAAACCTAACCATTCTTGTGTGGCTAGTCTAACATTCAGAACAGTGTGATTGTTGTTTCTAGTGTACCTCTTGAGGCCAGGAGAGAGAAGTTACATGAGTAGCTCTTACTAGCTAGCCTAATAAGCCTAATACCCACCTCACTTCCACCTGGGTCATGGCAACAATGTAACTTTTTAGTTTTACCCATCCTCTTCCGAGTTAGATTCAAATATGCATATCTGTCAGGGGAAGCATCTGCAGTAACAAGAAGGTAAAGACTACAACCTCCAGCATCAGTTGCTAGAGTGCCTTTTGAGCCCAGGGTGGTGAGGTTTGCTCACCTAGTTCCTACTACCTGGTTTGGTAATTATATCTAAACCTAAACCTCTGGAACCTCACTTCCATCCAGGTCAATGTAACCCCTTCTCGTCCTAGCCATGATCTTAGCGTAATTGGATCCGGTATGTCCACTATGGGGGATGAGTAACCTAATAAGGACGCAAGAGACAGTAACAAACCTTTCAAAGCCAGGGATGTGGAGTTTACACACAAAGCTCCTATAAGCTAGCCTCCACCACACTTACCACCTTAACCTCCCTCCCATTTGAGTCACAGCATCAACATAAGGTTCCAATCCTACTTGTCCAAATTTGATCATCATTTGAACCAGACTTTCTAGTGTGGGGCAGCCGTGGCCTAATGGTAGGAGATTTGGGTTCAGAATCTAAGGGTCACAGTTTTGAGTCCTGGTATCAGCAGGGATCAGATCCAGTAAGTCCACTATTGGGGGATAAGTGACCTAAAAAGGATGGATTAGACAGTAACACACCTTTCAAAGCCAGGGATGTGGAGTTTACACACAAAGCTTCTACAAGCTAGCCTTTAACACACGTACCACCTTAAACCTCCCTCCCATTTTGGTCACAGCACTAACGTAACCTTTCCAATCCTACTTGTCCAAATTTGAGCGTCATTTAAACCAGTGTTTCAAGTCAGTGGCAGCAGTGGCCTAATGGTAAGAGATATGGATTGGGATCCAAAGGTTGCAGGTTTGAGTCCTGGTATCAGCAGGGATGGGATCCAGTATGTCCACTATGGGGGACCAATGACCTAATAAGGATACAGCAAACAGTAACACCTTTTAAAGCCAAGTTTTCCAATCCTACTTGTCCAAATTTTGAGCGTCATTTGAACCAGCATCTCTTGTGTTGGGCAGCCATGGCCTAATGGTAAGAGAATTGGATTTGGGATCCAAAGTTGCAGGTTTGAGTCCTGGTATAAGCAGAGATTGGATCCAGTATGTCCACTATGGGGGATAAGTGACCTAATAAGGATGCAATAATCAGTAGCACACCTTTTAAAGGCAAATTTTCCAATCCTACTTGTCCAAAATTTGAGCCTCATTTGAACCAGCGTCTCGTGTGTGGGGTAAAAGACGCTTGGTAAGAGATTAGGAATTAGGATCCAAAGGTTGCAGGTTTGAGTCCTGGTATCAGCAGGGATTGCTGGTGAGGTGAATATCCACCTCAATACCACGACTGAGGGGATACCCTTGAGCAAAGCACAGCAACTCCTAACTGAACAATGTGTTTAGGGGTTTAAGTCACTTTGGATAAAAGTGTCTGCTAAATGCATGAATGTAAATACAAGGTCAGGCACGCTGACAAGAACACCAAAGTGTGACCTGATTTTCTTGAAAGTAAAGAACAGAAGTACTCTATTTTGCGGATGTCTGGAGTCACTGAGAGTGTGGTTATTATTCGATTTTTTTGTCATTGCAGGTGATCGTGAAGGGCGAGCGGCGGAGAGGCCGCAAGGGCGAAATTGCTCTGGATGACATGAGTCTCAAACGAGGTTCCTGTCAGGAAGAGCACAATCTGAGGAGACTTTAACAACGGTAACAGCATCAATAGAGACTTTTATTGCCAGCTTTACTCACAGGATTCGAGAAAGATGGACACCTTATGGAAAGGGACGTGGCCTTCTGTCAGTCCCGATATGGTAATGGTGCACTTTCTCAGCGGCTGCAAGTGCATGTCCCAGCTCAACAGAGTGCGGTAGGATGACGTATTTTTGTAGAACAAACAGGGAAAGTATTTTAGTACTTCAGATTGTATCGTCTCTAAGTCAGTATTGTAGTTTTTTCAATGGGTTGAAGTTGATCAGTATTTTTCATAAGGAATTGGTTGCTAAAACTAATTATGTAACTAAACAAGTTTGATCATTTACTTAATAGGTGCTTTCATAGCTGTATTGTTTATGACTGGGCTTTTGCAAACTGTCATAACGTTAAGGATGTTTACACAATTCTCAGCTAAAAAAGGGTTTAAAAATTTTTTAAAGGGTGCCACGCCATCTACTGGCCTGGCATACACAATAGTGTTTTTAATCGTTTTTGCAAATCTATGTGAACAGAGAGCATTTTCATCTTTATACAACAGTAACGTTTCCAGATTTTGTCTCCATTATATCATTTTGTTTGGTAAACGTACCTTACGATTTTTAGGAAGCTTTGTGATGGTGAGCTTTACTGGGGGAAGTGAAGCAGTCGGTCAAGTTTACATTATTTTGAAAGTTAATTTTCACTTTGATGGACTTAACAAACTTTATTAATGTAACCATTTTGAAGAAAAGAGCATGTTTGCCTGTAGCTTTTAGCGCAAGAGCGCCACCATCTTGGATTAGTGCTGTGTCTGACATCACAGGGTTGGTTCCGTTCCCTAAGCTTAACAGATACAGTGGAAGTTGGCTGACTTCGAAGGACACTGCCTGACTGGGTTTTTTTCAGCGGTGGTTTCAGCAAGGTCCGGTACTGATGTAAAGGGGGCAGTTACTTTCACTATCACTACTACAGCTGCTCACCTTTTCTCGTGTTTAAAACAAACTAAGATCGATATGTTTTTTCACACAGCAGTTTCTTATGTTCTTCATACATTTCAAGAGATCTAGTTGATTGACTTGTAAAGGGACGCCAATCCCAATTCTATCCCTTAGCCTTTCCCCTTACCCCTCTTTTGCAGCGAATTTTTACAACAAACAAGCACATGATTTAATAATTCATTACTACATTCGTGTGTTTAAAAAAATGCTTAAATAAAAATCTATAATCCTTAATAATGACTTCTGTACAGCAGTCCCACAACATTTTAACACTGGAATACCCTGTCAGAAAAGTGTAGTTGAGAATGAGCTTTTTACAGTGTCTGCTATAATGTTAATGTTGTTGTTTATTGTTATTGTGTATTTACATTTATGAAAATGGCAATGGTATAAATGCACAGTACAGTTTACTCTGATTGCCACATTAGATTTATATGATAACATGATATTGTTGCCTTAGGTAAATTGCTTAAGATAAATACCAAAAAAAATAACACAACTAAAATAACTACAGCAGTCACCATTGTCTGATCTCATATGAAGAGATCGCGATGACATCTGATGGCGTGTGCAGGTGCTTCAGTGCTGTCCAAATTCTGAGGGGTAAATTTTGAAGCCCTTCCCCTCGTTTTTTAAGAGCCAAGGGGAAGGGGAAGGGGTAGGGATACAAAAATAGAATTGGGATTGGGCCTTAGTAAAGAGCGATGTCATGTCTTATATTAATCGTTAAATTAGTCTGAATATAAATTTCCTTGTCAGGCAGCACTGGAGCACTATGAGAGAATGGACCACAGGGCATCAAATAAAAGGATTTTTTTAAAAATAAATAGAAAACATATATTTTTTTGTAGATATTAGACAATTTTTAAGCTTGTATTTGCACCAGCTCTGCAGTGCACGTCCAAAACTTTACGCTCTGGTTAAATTAGGCTTTCCAGTCCATTACTTTCACTGTATCTGTTCAGCTCAGGGAACAGAACCAACACAATAACGTCAGACACTGCGATATTCCTAGATGGCAGCTCCCTTGTGCTAAAAACTATAGGCATTTTCTTTAAATTGATTACATAACCCGAGCTTGTATAAGATATTTTCATTGAAGTGCAAACAAATTTACTAAATCAAAATAACAATAATTCCTTACATTTACATAGCACTTTTCTAGACACTCAAAGGGCTTTACACATTAGGGGAACCTCCTCATCCACCACCAGTGTGCAGCATCCACCTAGATGATGCGGCGGCAGCCATATTGCACCAGACCACACACTAGCTGATTGGTGGAGAGGAGACAGAGTGATGAAACCAATTATGATATGGGGATGGTTAGAAGGCCATGATGGACAGAGGCCAGTGTCGAATCGAAGCATTTTTAACGACCACAGAAAGTCAGGAGGTCGGTTTAACATCTCATCCAAAAGACAACACTCACTGAGCAGTATAGAATCCCCTTCACTATACTGGGGCATTAGGCCCACACAGATCGCAGGTTGAGCACCCCCTGCTGGTCTCACTAACACCAGTTAGTGGAGCAACAACCTAGCTTTCCCATGTGGTCTCCCATCCAGGTACTGACCAGGCGCAGCCCTGCTTAGAGAGAGCTAGCTGCCAGCTGTAAATAATGTAAACTTGATTGACTGTTTCACTTCTAATTTATCACGCAAGTGTGGTGAAGTTTGTATTTATGTTCAGTTTTTACTTTTGGCAATTGTATTTAGGGTTCAAATGATAAAAAAAATTACTGTTTATTTATCATGATAAAAAAAAAACATGTAAGAATCATAAACTTCTGCTTTTCGAACTGGAAAGCCACTGGCTAGTAAATGGAGATATGCTCCATTTTGGCCTACAAAAATGCGTCATCATTGCTGCACTCTTGAAATGAGATGATTTGGAAATACGCTTTTGTACAGTTTAATTTTGTAGATGTAAAATTTGTCTCCCACTTCAAATATTTGCCAAGCAGATGTCAACATGTCACTGTAAACACAAGTTTGTTCATTTGACACTTGAATCATGATCCTTTTTAAATTGAGCCCATGTGCTTTGTTAGCCCAGCTAACATGCGTGACAAACCTTTTTTGTGTGTGTGCGTGTATTATTGTAAATGTATTCATACATGTGTATATATATATATAAATATATTTCAAATAAGCTTTGTAGGTGCATATATATGTGAATTGTTCATTGTATAAGTGATGCAGGACAATGTTTACATCACACAATCCAGTTTTGAGTATTTTATTGACGTTTATTGTTAAGTACGAACCAGTTCTGATTATTGCTTATTAATGGCTGTATCAGCCATTCTGTATGATCGTCACAACCATGGTTACCCTTTAAGACGGTGTGTTGAATATGAAAGCTCTTGGTTTAATATTCAAATGAAGCAACGACCTCCAGACATTAAAAGGTGTGAACAAAAAAAATGTCTTGTTTTTTTTTCTGCTGACAGTTCCTAGCAGCTCTTTTTGTTATGATTGACAATAGTGTCTTTCTTACTGCTACACACTTGGCTTTACAACTTAGCAAGCGGGGGAAATAATTCATTAATAGACTATACCATCATTGAATTTTAAAGACAGGAAAGTCAATATCAATTTGTAAATCATTAAAATACTGCAATTAAATGACCCAAACAAATGGTCTTTTATTAAGGTCTGCACATCGATTAACATTTTGTGAGGGAATATTTTTATTTTAATGTATACAAATAACATTATTAAAAATCAGGTGTTCATCAGCCTGTTCTTTTGATATATATATATATCTCAAAAGTGTGTGTGTGTGTGTGTGTGTGTGTGTGTGTGTGTGTGTATATATATATATATATATATATACACACACACACACACACACACACACACACACTCACCGGCCACTTTGTTAAGTACACCTTACTAGACCCCTTTTACCTTCAGAACTGCCTTAATCCTTAGTGGCATAGATTCAACAAGCTACTGGAAATATTCCTTAGAGATTTTCCTCAGTATTGACATGATAGCATCACACAGTTGCTGCAGATTTGTCGGCTGCACATCTATGATGTGAATCTCCTGTTCCACCACATCCCAAAGGTGCTCTATTGGATTGACTGTGGAGGCCATTTGAGTCCAGTAACATTGTCATGTTTTAGGGTGTACTCACACTATGTACAGTTGCCTTGAACCGGGCCGAAGCATGCTTGTCCCACCCTCCTGTGTCCCCGATGGCCCGCACTCACATTGCATCCGCGCCTGAGCACGCTTACTCATCAATGATGCCCTGTTCAGTAAGTGCTCTCGCTCTGGACAGTGGAGATTTCTTCATATCGTTTTAATCATTTGATATGCAGTGACACGCAGTCAAATATTTCGCTGAACAGATCAGCCACTTTTGACGCTCATTTACAATCATAAAATCATGCTACAGGAATTAGGAGGTTTGCTGAAGGTGCAGCTGTCGTGCACTAAGAGGTTTGCGTCTTAAACTACAACAGTTTGTGTTCATTGAACAGTAAGAAAGATTAATAAATCCATATGAAACAGTCCCTTAAAAGTCTCGTCTTGCTTTCAGTTTCAGGCGCGCTTCGCACTCACACTACAATCGGTCAAAAAACACTTTCATGGTCTTTCAATATGCATATATTTTTTTACCACAGTATCCCAGCGACTCCCAAATGATTCGTTCAGCGATTCATTTGTTCCCAAACCCCTCCTTTGCGCTATGCTAACAGCTGCGATTGGTCAACTGTTCAGCGCAAGACAGAGAAAAACACCCAACACGGCATATCAACATTGTTGAAGTAGTCAGAGTGCAGAGTGTATGTGTGAACCCAATGCAGGAGTGCAATAAGGCAACGCAGTTAAACACTGCTCAACGTACTGCTCTAATCCACACAGCGGCAAAAGCTGAACTATTTTGAAACACAGTTAAATACCCTTTTTACCCTTTCTTACCTGGCAAGCTCTGACAAAGTCCCCTACATCAATAGTCTTTTCTGATCCTTCCTTTAACAAACGGATGACGAATACCCGTCTGC